CGAAACTTGTTGTTATTATTGTTTTGAAGATATTATGTATTATTGACAAGTTGAGAAAAATTAAAAAAATAGTAATGTAAATGGAATTTAATTAATTAAGAATAACAGGTTAATTTAATTAGAAATTCCTGGACTACTCGTAATTTCCCATCACCGTAGTGAAGTATTGAGAAGCGACCTCTGAAATAAATGTATGAATAATTTTTATGAGTGTTAGGCAGACCTTACACATATATATATATATAAAAGATAGTGATTTATTTGTTTAATTAATGATAATACGGTGTTCGGTGGTTTCATCATACCTGCGCTAACGATGTACGCTGGTGGGACACCATTTGACGTGGGTAAGATTAATTAACGTCATTTAGCTCATCGTATCGAATTCACTAGCATTAACCACGATGGTTTGAACCTCGTGGATGTAAACCTGACATGGCACATTGTTAGCAATGAAGTAACTAGTCTCCATTACCACAGAGAAGATTATATTTATATACCATTACAAAGAATCTCCCCCTCCTGATAATGATGTATTGTTAATCGAATTATTAAGAAAATCACACCGTTAAATTATAATTCTTAATACAATTTGATACATACCAATGACAGACAGTTGTTTACGTTACCGACCGTTATCCGACCAACCTGCAGACTTTCGTAAATCTTTGGCCTGATTAATAAATATATCACGTGTGTATTGGATTTCAACAGCCGTCGAACCGTACCAGCAATTGTTTTACGTTGCGCATTACAATAGCTTTTTGTGGCTCTTGCAAATTCTATGTACAATTCTTATATTTCTAACTAGACTGCAACACATATTGACATTGTTTTTTTAAGAGTTAAAAGTAAACTACAACTACTAAAATCACGATCACAATTCAATTATATTATAATATATAAAATAATTTTAGAATTTCTTAATTTCTGCTTTTAGAATTAATATTGGTACTTTATCTATAACATAAAATATATATCTAATGCATTTACTGGGAGTAAGTGCATTAATATATTTGTGCATTCGCATACGTTTTAAGGAAACATGTTAGAATTGATGGAAACATGTAGTTTGGTCCTGTTGAAAGTGTTTCCAAATTGCTCATAGGTCTATATTGGAAGCGATCAGCTGCCCTGATAGGTTGTTAACGAATTTACGGGTGTTGGGATCACTTGTACAGAAAGTCTCGACTCGGGACGAATTTCTATTCGATGTCGATGAGTCTACCACTTTTTTGCAATATCATTTTTTCTCTGAATATATTATTTTATATAATAGTCATTATAGAATTGATTTAAATATACAGTTTTCTAAATTATATAGTAGAATATATCAGATGTTTGATAATAATATACTGCATAAATGCAATAATGACTTATTTAATAGGTTCTATATACGATGATAATGGTTTTATTGTACAACTAAGAATCTAAAATTAAAAACCTTAAAAAAATATAATATAATAACTAAAATATATTATTGAAAAGAGTCCCTTAAGCAAGGTTCCGAAGATTCTGGCAGCGTTCCCTCTATGAATGTCTACATGGTGCTGAATGCAATAATTATTAATACTAGGCAAATGATTCTAATTTTTCTAAAATCTCTAAAAAAATATAAACTGCTTTCTCTTGAAAAACGACGCACACAGTTTGACCTCTCATTTTTATATAAAATTTTAAACAATTTAGTAAATTCGTCCACTATCTTATCAAGAATAAATTTTGTGGGGAAGGCTCGACTACCTGTGCAGTGTGCGTACCTCACGTTCTATTAACTTATTTGTACCACTTCGTCCACGTCGAAACTATACTAGTAATAATTTCTTCTCGCGATGTCTTCTCACATACAATAAAGAATTTTCAGACATTGATATTTTTTCAAATTCTTTGCATGCCTTCAAAGGGGAAATAATACAAAAATTGAATTGTCTCTAATATGACACAATAATTATGTATTTGTAGATTTTGTCTTTTCTTTTTTAAATGTACTAGTTACTTTCCAGACATTGTAATGTAGGTACTTGGGTATTCTTTGTTTACTTAATAATTATGTTTTCTTCACTGTCTATGTTATAATTGTTTTGTTATATTTCATGTTACTGAATCGTCCGTTTATAGTAAAATATAAAATGTAAAAAAAAAAAAAATTCTAACCTTAATATCTAGGCTCATTATGTCAACACTACTTATTAATATAATACTACTAAATACTTTTCGGTACTCGTTGTCTATCAACTATCTATATATATATATATTTGTAATTATAATTGTAATGACTGTTTGTACCAAAATAAATAAAAAAAAAAAAAAAAAATAAATTAATAAATATTTAAGTTAATTTCCCAAAAGTTGAATTGTAATATGTAAATGTAAGTAAAAAATCTAATTAAAACATGTATATATATTTTTAAAAATTTTTGTAGTAATACATAAACTATGTCTTTTAAATAATAATATGATTAGGGGGCGTAATTATTGCGAATGTAAACAACTATGTAGTTTCAGTTTTATGATTCATGAACCTACAATCAAAAACCGTAATTTAAAGTTTTTTTTATATTTATCTCACTCAAGGTTCCGATCAGTTAGTAAATTGCATGGAATAGTGTCGTGGGAATAAATTGTCGATTGTATATTTACAATGACTATTGGGGCCAGCCGGCACATTATTTCTTTCGAATCTCACGTTTGTCCCTGGCAATTCCGGTTTCATTTGGAATGTGCTTAACATTTGGTAGATACTTTTACTATTCTTGTACAATTACTTTATAAATCCATCTACACTTATAAATGCAAAAATGTGTTTCTATAGTAGTTATTTTTTCATGATTATACGGCAGAACAGTCCTCGAGCCAGAGATACTTTATGTCAGTCAATTCCTCCTGGTTAAAATTGCTATCATATCATAGTCAAACCTTTTACAATTTTTTGCGAGGACGATACTCCTCGATCCACCCTCTGAACCGCAGCTGACTTTCACTAATCTTTCATAACATAATTTTCTTAACCATTTTAGAAGATTTAGACCGGGAGGAAATTGTTCCCCTTGACTTATTCTTGGATCGGTAAGAAGGTAACACTTGTAATTGATAATTTTTATCATCATCTGAACAGGTTAATTTAATCTAATATAATATTAATATGTAGAAAATATTTAGTCCTTCCACGCAGCAAGTATACACAATTGAGGGGTGTTCCCGCGCACACACACACGTAAGCAGTTGTTCATATTACCAAACCATTATTACCACAGAAATTTTATTTAAAGTAAATCTATCCATTGTTCTCAACATACGTGGATATTACATATGTATGTAATATCCACGTATGTTGATAGTTATATATAGTTATTGTTAGTAGTACTTTTAAATATCCACATCCAGATATGTATCTGGAAGTGGATATTTAAAATATAAAACAATAAATAATTAATGTGTTTTCATTATTAGTTATTCTTTTTTGTAATTCTTCTTAGCTAAATATGCATTCCGTATGCTTCTACGGAATGCATATACAGTAGAAAAAAATTAGACTATTCAAAATAGAATTGCTAATTTTAAATTTTGTTTGAATAAAAATATTGTATTCAGATAATCTTAAACGAAATGAATTAAAAGCCAATGACTTCAATGTCAATTTTTTTAACACGACCTAGTAATAAATGAATGAATGAAAAATTCTTTATTGTTCTCTCTTAGTATACAAACAAACATTAATATACATTATTAAATAAGTATAAATATGTATAAACATATAACATCCTCGAAGGGAAGAGGCAACAATGGGCGGCCTTATTGCTGAAAAGAGATTTCTTCCAGGCAACCTTAGGATGGAGAGGAGTGATTGACTTGATTCTGGTCGAGGTGTAACAGTAATAAATAGTGAGAAAGTATATTAAAATAGCTACATATACATATAAAAATTACATATTTCGATTACACACATATAATTACAAAATATATACATGTATATTATATATAGAATACATACAATTATGATATTACTATGCCTTACAGAGAGACGGTAACTTACAGACATAGTGGTTTCTAATTCGTGTTTTGAAATTCGGTAATAATGTTATCCTTCGAATAGATACTGGTAGTTCGTTCTAAAGACGAACAGCTTATACACTGAACTATTTGTCATAAAACGTTGTGCTATGTCTTGGAGTTTTTAACAGGAGACTTTCTGACGACCTTTTAACGGTATTCGAAGTATGAAGGAAAACAAACAGCTCCTTTAAGTAGTAATGAGTTGAAGAGTTATTGAGAATGTTATGAAGAAGGGTAATAAGATTCGATTCGTATCGTCTTGATTTATTAGGTACCTATGACTAGCTGTTTTCAACGGAAAATGCATTATGTAAGACACCGACACGGTCAAAAGGACAAAGTTTCAATTTCAATACAAAGCCTTGTTTAACTTAATTTGAACATCAATATCATAAGTTAAATGAATGATTAACTTTTCCTTTAATGTAACCATTGATATTTCCAGTGTTAAGATGTATAAGGCTAAGTTGACTAATAAATTAAACAAGTTTTCACACTTATTTATATTATTATACTGAATTCATACTTGCCTTAAAGTTTAATGTAAATGTACTATAAGTTAGGTAGGTTAAGTACTCATACGTAAATTTAACAATTCAATTCATAGTTGGTATAACTCTTCCTGGTAAACAATCAATTGTTTACCATCCGGCGGACCTATGCTTAAATCAATGTCGAAGTTCTAAAATAATAGTAATAATATAGATACTTTTGAAATGTTTTATTTGTTTTTCTTTATAGGTACATTTTATACAGAACATATTGTATAACTTTTCATGTAACTTTATTAGCAGTAATTAATCAATTTACAAATTACAATAAACAAATGTTAATTATGTAGTTAACATCTTGCCCGTGCGTTTTGTTTACCTAATCGTGGATTTCAAAAGTAATTTGAATACAATATAAATTCGCATTCATAGAAGGCAAAACAAGAAAAAACAAACCTTACAGCTATTCCGTCGTCACTGGCGCACAACTTGTAAATATAAGATTTATACTTTTTTCTGTCCACTCGATTATAAGTAACTTTCTATTAAATCCAAAACACAGACACAGAGTTTTATGTTAAAACATGAAATATTTCACTTTCAAGTATAAATTGGGGATTACGTGTACACCGAACAAACTGTTGTTACAATCGATAACGATAGTAAATCGAAACGGGGAGTAGAGACGCGCGTTTTCCCTAACATCAAGTTGTACAGTGCGCGTGTGCGCGCGCGCATGGAGAAACTTGAGAGAAAAGTGCCGTCCCCCGCATCGGACCGTTCAGAGGATTACATCAATGCTCTTGTTGCTAATATTGTTCGTGGCAACTGTATTTTTTTAATAAATGGGAAACATCAGTTGAAGTTGCGGCGCTATTTCCGCTTTCCACTCACTGTTAACATAACTGCTGAAAGACATGATGCAAATTACTTACGTTAGTGGTATCGGGCATACACATCTTTATGTTTATTTGTAAGTACATATTACTAAACTAATCGCATTTGCATAGTAGATACATTATTTTAATGGGAAATTAGCTGAAGATAACTTATCGGACAGTGGCAACAATCACTTATTGACTGGAATCTCATAGCTATTACAGAATACCTTGCTAAGTACTTAAGTAGGCTTAATTAGCGATACCGGTCATGATATTCCTGAAAATAATCCTAAAATTTAGCCATTCATTATTTAAAGTTAACGGATTGCTGGCAGACATACGAGTGAGATAAAAATATCTGACATAAAGTCTCCTTTTAGCATATATTGGATTGTGTAAGAATGTAACATCAGATTGGTGGGGATGATGAGGAAAGTCCTAGCGCACCTGGGTACTACTAAATTACATTTATGACCACCTTAATTTGTTAACCGGGCAAGACGCATAAATGCGTCAGGCTTAAACAATATCTGGTACGGGTAGGACATATGAATATGTCCTCGAAAATTTATTTGCGCCCTGGAACAGACGGAGCGTATATTTTCGTCATCGTCCGAATTGTAGTGTAGCATTATGTATAAATAATTGTTTTAAAATATATCACACAGAAATTAAGTTTTGAATTTTTATATGTACTTATTGTGTAATTCTATTTTGTTTACATGCTTTTACTTGTTTTGTGATTCCTTTTGTACTTCAAAAATATTAATAAACAATATATATTTAATAGTATTTCATTGATTTTATGTATAAATAATATGATAAATGTAAAATATAAATAAAGAAGTATAAAATGACGGTCTCCGGTCGTGACGTATTGACATGTCCTAGCGAAACAATACGCGCCCGGTACATGTTGCATAATTTAAACGGGAACTCCCCGGTTAACAGTTTAATTGACAGACATACGTATTATATATATTACGATTATTACGTAATAATATAATATTTCACTTTTTACTTTAAAAAAATCACCCGTCCTACAAAGCGATAAATCAACATTATTAAAAAAATGTAAGGTCAGTGACAGGTTTTCCATGATAAATAATGCAGTCGACGATGAAATACCTACGTATATGAAACAAAAAAATTTATATAATCTTTACGATCCTATTTAACGTAATTACTATTTAAAATTACTTCATAAAGTGGCAGTAAAAAACGTACAGATGCACTATTATATACGCATATATACCTAGCTACTCATTCATATTTATTATACATAAGATTATATACTATATCTGGAATGCTTTTATTCATTATTTTATAATGCATAATGTGGTATAAATAAAAATAAAAAATATAACAATATTGTGTTATCTGTGCTATAACCATGGATGATAATTTATTTGTCGCAGATGTTGATTAACAAACAAATGTTAGAATGACAAACAAAACCTCATTGTTATCCTAGATGGTCAGTCAGAGCCATTTTCCAATTAGTTTTCCAGAACCGCAAAACATGGGGCATGACATAATGGTCTGATGTCCGAGGTGTATAGGCTACACCTGCCATGACTATCAGGTCGAAAGTCAGTGTTTCCCGTTTCAGTTACTTAACCGTCTTATAACCGCGCATTGATCCACGAGACCGATAATTTACGTTTGGCTTATCATTTCTTATAAAAATTATGTACTGATATTTATTTGATTTGTTTAAACATATTTTTATCTTATAGTATACAGAATTTTACATATTTTTTACTGAAATCTTGCTACAACGGACCTAGGAATCTCGGTGCCACAGACACTGCGCGCGTCTAAGTGTTACATTATTTGATGCGGACATAGGAAAATTAAAAAATATCAAGTATCTACAGTATCTCCTCTCTGTTTCGTCCGTACATAATGCCTCAATGATTTAGTAGTTACTGCATTTTTGTGACCTTAACTACATATGCAGTCATAACCCTCATTATTAACTTGTATATAACCTTCACGATTCCTATATTTAGAATAAATGTCAGCAATCGCAATGAAGCACATCTTACGCTTCATATACATTATACATACATTACATTACACATCGAACGAGTCTGGCCTAGAGAAGTGAACCATAAAGATTAATTACATATTTTCCCCTAATGCTTCCTGCTAATATGAGTATAACCTTACTGATCACTAAGCGGTTGTCATCGCACCATACAAAGAATGGGCCTCTGCTCTGTGGCATCATACGACAATCCATTAAAAATTATTGAATAAATGAAGTAACGATAGCCACATATTATGCTTTATTTATCTTTCGCCAATGTAAATGAAAACTTATTACAAATATTTATAAGAAAACCTGCAATAAAATATTTTTCATAATATGTTTATAAATACTTGTTTGAGTACAATATGCATTTCCATATTTTCGTGTGATTTTTAATTGTATAAAAATATCTATTTGATTTATATATATCACAACAATTTTAGTTAGTGCTTACAACATCCGACGTATTAATTTGTTGTGTAGTTAGTAACAGGTTTTGTTGTTGTATTAGTTCAGTGTTTAATGACGTGATAGCAGCTCTACCTACAATAAGATCCCCAATAAGAACTGGTGCATAGTTAAACTTTCAATAACGCTTTTACAAATTAAAAATAAATTGATCGTAATCCCAGTAGAGTAGTAACCATTTATTACTTTATTATATTCAGATGTTTTTATTGTAAATAAATAAATATATTTTGTGATAATATCGTGAATCAGTAGCAACTCTTGTTTTTAAAATAACTAATTATCAAATATAATACCTATCATTATCTATTTCTCGTAGTCTGCGGTTTATTAACTCAATAAATTTTTATAGGACTGAAATTATTTACCGTGGATTATTTTAAGCTCACGGCTCACATTTTTTATTTTAAATGCAGTCAATCATTGTAATTTGAAACACATGTGAAAGTGAGTTTGCATGTTCCACTTTTACGATTTAAAATGTTAATATCAAACTCTGAGTGTGATAAATTGATAATGCAAAAGTATAGGTCCAAGTATAAAATCTATAATATATTGCTATAAGTATAGGATCTATACATATTCTATTATAAAATAAAGTACCGTGCCTATCTGTATGTTCGTGAGAATGTCAAAAAGGTAAGGTTAAGGTGTATAAATTTTAAGATTACTGTGTAAATTAATCCGTGCTAAGACTAAGCCGACCCCAGTAAAGTAAGTATATTCATTTATTAATATAATAACAAGTGATCTATAGTACTTAAGCAGGTATTTCACATTGCATAAACTGTTATGCTATATTAGCATAAACGTTTTTGGTGCCTGTTTATGAAATATAGTAGCTCATAGTAGCTCATCGTTCAAAAGAACCGGAACTGATCACAGTACCAAGTGCCTTGCCTTGCTTGTTGCATATATAACATACATTATGAATAGCTAACTGTATATTAGCGTTACTTGATTTATTTATCAAATGAAGAGGAAAATGTATACAAATCACATGTTATCCAACCATCGATATTACGACTAGTGTGAAATAATTCCATTTCACGAACAAATCGTTTGTGGCAGTATAATCTATTAGAGCGCTTTATGTAAGTGAGAGAATACTTCTATTTTTTTTTATGTAATTGGAATGGCAAACAAGCCTTCGATACATCTGCTGATAAAGTCAAGGACAGCTGCGCCCAACAGTATTAGAGAAGTCCGGAAAAAAGGACTTCTCTAATGCTGTTGGGCGCAGCTGACCTTTATAGCCTCACCAGACGATCGGGGGCGAGTGCAGATGGCACTCTAAACCCATAGAAGGAATTATGGAGCGGCTGAAGGTCAACTCCCACTTGACGGATACGACTTTAGGCTGTTGCATTGCTATTCCGTCGGACTAAGATGTTATATTTACGTACGCTATAATTTATGTTGATCTCTGCTAATAACCACACCTACATTATCATCAGGCTAAGATGCATTTGACACAATTCGTAGTACTGTAGTAATGTATAATATACCTTGTGTACTTTGTCTAGGGAGGATGACTAATGCGTGAGAAATACCTACCAACATAAAGGACGACGCGAAAGTGTGTATTTATGTGCATATAACGAAAATCATCGCAGTTAGTTCTGACTGACCGACTACTGACCTGACTTCATAGTCATCCTATCATCCTTCACTAGTGCTTCGTACCGTAACTTCGTCCGCGTAGAATTAAACTTTTATTTTAATTAAAATAAATAATGTCTAATGTAAATGTAGTCTACGTAACTCCTTAGCAGCTTACAGTAGCTATCTGCGAGTAAAAGATTTAAAAATTATTTTTTGTATAAATACTGTAGGTATGTACTTTCATATGTATATATTCATATCTGTGTATGCAGGTAATGAAAAGCTTTTAATTTAAAATTACAAACGGACACTTTAATTTTATTTATTTATATAGTTTGTGAAAAAAAAATTACTATCACATTATTAGTTCAAACGGGTTACAATAATTACATTTTTGAAATGTTTTAACAGTTTTGAAATGTGACATCACGAAATTTAGGACCCCTCTTTATCCTTGTATATACAATGTCACCTTTTGTTGACCCCACCCTAACTTGTGACATAATCTATGGTCTCAGTGTTTCTAAGCGCTAGTATTTCGTTTTATAAAAAAGAACAGCTAACTTAGGTTTTTGCCGATTGCAGCTGCAAGCCGGCGACTGCAGGCGGCATTGCGCAACGACTTTCACCGACTCCCGTTAACACCGCCAGTAAACACAAACCGAGTCGTGGTCGTGACGCATGCGTGTTACGTGGCCAGCTGTTTGTGTTGCCTGGAACGGGAAGTCGAAAGCTGAATGATGATCAACGTATGATAATGAACGATGCGAAATACCAGCTATTTACTTGCGTAATTACACAACTGCTTAGCGGTGGAGTGATAAAGTTTTTATGGATGATAATGGAATGCTGCAGCCATGTATGATGGACGCCGTGACTTATAGGAAACCAGTGGAGGATGAAGGGATGAACTGACATTAGTTACTCCGACCTGGCGAATTAACCAGTATCATTTCAGGGAAGACAATGTGAGGGTCGACCGGACGTGGTATATTGCTAGCAAGGGATTACTTGAATCGACATTTTCATGGGCCTCATGGTAATATGTTATAGATACCTATTTAACTGCTATATTAGAGAAGGGTTGACATGAGGGAGTGATGTTTGTAATAGCACAGTAATATTATTTCATTTATGATAATAGTATGTAATATTATGTTATCTGTGATAATAGTAATAAGCAACGTGCAAGGTTTCTCTCACCTTCCCCACCATTCCTCCTTGGATACTATGGTAGTTAACTTCAAATTATGTTGTTTTGATTGACTATGTGATGAGATTTAGTTCTCATATTTTCATACGTCATTGATCTGATAGAATATTCTAAAAATACTTACTTGTGAAATCGGATCAGTGTCTAACTGTCTACAGATCCTTGAACATTGGAACTTAAGTAAGGAAGCTAGAACTCTATGAGGGTTCAGTATGCATATGTTTAAATCATATTCTAGTGGCGAGTCCGGTATTTGATGTAGATCCGTCTGTCAGATATTATTAATTCATACTAATATAAATTCGACTGCGTCTTTCCACAGCTAAGCGGCTGAACAGATCTTAATTAAATTAATATGAAGATAGATTATATCACAAGGACGAATATATATAGGCTAACTTTTATGGCAAAGAAATGCAACCGAAGTGAAGACAACTAGCTAGTTGTCCATAATTTAGACTTTACTAATGCTATAGATTTCATGTGTGAACTAGATAATATTATATTATCTAATCTTATATTATAAAATTAGATTTAAAAAATAATTTTTACTTTCTTTTTAGGATTCATAATCACCTTAATATCACAATAACAAATTTTGTTTATTACAAAATGTATTAAATAAATTAAAATAAGTTCGGGGCTCTATAAGAAAGTTCGATTCGCGCTTTACCGGCTTTTTACTTATGCTTAGATATACATGAGATTGTTTTTTTTATCAGTTGTTGCGTGTTTAGTTCCCTCATTTGTCAGTAAGTAAAAGTGTTATTTTCGTGGGTCGGCTGAAAGTAAGAGGATGTGACTTGTACTAAATGACGTCACCCGGATTTCGGAGTGCTAACGCAACGAAACAGTTTTGCGTCTCCGGCTGTAAAATGACAAATATGACAATGAATGAGAATGAAGACTTTAATCTCTTCGCCATCGTTTCCGTTTCTTTGTATCATAGAAAACGGTTTGATATAATAATAAATTAAAAAAGATAATTACATTATTAAATAATAAATTGGATGTCGAAATACGTACCTAATCAATTTTACGAAATATGTGCACTATATCTATTAATCAAAAAAGATTCCAAAATAAGAACAATTAAAATGATGGCATTTGACGTCAATAATAGGTCAACGGGTTTTAAGTAGTTAGCTGTCCCAATTTAGTTTTTGGGATTGCCCAAATGAGATTTCGAATGCAGCCACGGCTGTAAAGACAAACCCACTACTTTTTGAATTAAAATAATTTGTTAAGTCCTGCTTGCTATGTCTAGTTCGAATAAAGTCTACAACATCACATTGTACTTTCAGACCGACAACAAAATTCATAAAAATCTAATAATGAGCACTTCAATTTAAATACTTATTTTAAAATTTAAAAACTGGTAGACCAAAGCTAATGTGCGTCGGTGATTTAAACTACTTTGCTAAAGACATAGGCAAGCAGCAGATTACGCTAGAATCAAGAATAGAGGTTTGCAGATTATAAGGTCAATAGTGGGACACAAATTAGTCTATAAAAAAGATCTATCGTTTCATCAGAAATCGAGATATGGAAGTAGATATAGACCAGAAAATCTTTTTCTGAAATTGGTGAAAAAATAAAGAACAAATGAATGACGAACACCCTGAACATTACCGTAGATAATATAAAAATTGATCAATTATTTTTATTTTCGTGATCATAAGGAATTAAAATTATATGCAAGCTATAATCAATCATCGATAGATACTTATGTACTCGTTTTTATGAATTTGACATCGAGTTTAAGTATTTGGGATAGGTTGAAAGTGAAGTATTACTAGCGCCATCTTACAGTATACCTGTAAATTTACGCAGTGCTTCTGAGATGGCGCCACACGTTAATGAAGAAAGTTCCATTGTATTTTCTAAAAATAACACCAGAGTTCGTTCCAAGCGCTATATTTAGTTTTTAGACATTTGACAAAAAAAAGATGGCATCGAATGCCGACTGCTGTCCTTCGAATTTATTGCAAAAATGGCGTATTATGTGATATTTTCACATAATATAATAATTTTAAGTGAAAAATTGTGTAGTGCTACTTTGTGATGGTGTGTTGTTTTACATGAATGACAGTGCAGTAGTGTGTAAATAGGACTGCAACTACTGGATATTGGATTACACATAAAAAAGGTATTTACGCCTTCTTTAGCAGGAAATTCACATAGATTTTGAGTATTACTCTTGGATAATTTCTTATTTTTCTTCCTCAGCCTTCTGAAGAGAGCTGTAGCTTACGATTATTACATAAGAATTCGATTTTCTTATTTGTAGGACTTTATGTATTTTTGACTAAACATTTTATTGTATTGTTCGTTTTAGATGTATATAAGAAATTGCAAATATAACACGTACTCTTTTAGCAATATGGGTATAAGACTCGTGGTTTATGAGATATGTTGGCATGACATCAGCAAACCATACCCACTGTAAACTAGTATGATTCATACTTCAATATTGCCGTCCGTATGGCGATAGTTTTAAGATTCTAATTGTAAAAGAATCACGATCAGAAAAATTTCTACAGAAATAGGGCACTAACAATATACATACAACACATACAATAAATAAAATATGCAAAAGTTTATACAAACATTTTATGAAATGTCTAAATTAAAAATCATCTTAACACATTACTGTACTCCTTAAACCTCTTTTAATTCTTCTATTTTGTGAAAGAATTAATACCAATTGAATATATAATAAAAAAAAATGTTTTTTTACTAAAATATAAAACATAGCAAATAATATAAATACTCAACCCTAACAAAAATACTTTGAATTTAAAAATAATTTCCTCCATCAAAGGTAATAGAAATTAAAAATATTTTCGGTGCAAAATATTATCTGTGTTATATATTATTGTGTCTGCTATAATATGTGTTATTTGAACATTATAGGATAAATATATTTTACTATGCAAAAAAAAAATGTAGGTATATCATTTCATTCTATAAAATAAATATTTCTTAATATTTATTAGAAGTGTACTTTGTTCATACTTGGTATATATAGTCAATTATAGAATATCTTTTTAACACAGTAATAATACATAACATGTACAAATTAAAACTATTTTTTTATTTAAACAGGAAATTGAATTTCCTGATTATGTTTTATTTTAAATATATTTTCTTCTTCAATTTTTAGTGTCTTTTATAATTAAATTTCTTACTATACTTTAATATTATTATAGATACTATAAAAGCAAATTTATTACTACTAAATAATTTATTTACATGTAAAAAACATATACTGTGCAAAGCCACATCTCATAACTTTGTAGGTTTTGTATATATGTATAAGTACATTGACATAATATATATATGATATCAAACTGTAATAAAGTATCTTTTAAACTGTGAAAGAATTTCACAAATCAGTGTAGTAGCACCATTTATGTTCTTCATAACAAAATTGATTCTCTCTTTTTTACTCTCTGATAAATCCCCCATCTAATTCAAATGGGCATTATGATAGCCTGAGTCAAGGCCCCTAGAGGTGCCTCAAACTAAAGTCATATCCATCAGATGGAGTCAGCCTTCAGCCACTTCATAAGTCGAACCGAGGCTTTGGAGTGTCATCTTCACTCATCCCCTATCATGCTTTAATGATGTAGCGGCCAACAACATTAGAGTAGTATGAAAAAATCTCTTTTCAATGTTATTCTTATAAGCTTAGTCTTTCACAATACCACAAATACAAAAAAACATAATTTAATATTTATTTATGATTTTGGATTTAAACAATACCAAATATTTCATTTCTGTGTTTAATTCAGATTTAGCTGTAAGTACTACTGTCTTCTTAAAGTTGATTGAAATTTACAGTAGTGGAAATTGAACAGAGAAAATTTTGATTCTGTGGGACCACATAAATTAAAATTCTTGACAGAAAAGGTTCAAGCTTACATTGCTAAAGGTACAAACTGCTAAGGCTTTTTATAGCATTCCCCAAGATTTGCAAGACCTGTGGCATTATCTGGCAAATATATATGTCTATTATTTCTTACTACAATACTTACAATATAAATATAAAATTTTATGTTTTGTCTACTAAATCTGCAAGTATAAAAAAGCATATTAAAAATTTAATTTTTTCTTAATTTCATATACTTCTACTACCAAAACGCCATGTTATAATATTTAACTGTATGTACATAGCTAAATATTTCATACAAGGACATCATCATTTTTCCAGAAGTACTAGCCTCATATAATTTCAAATAAGTAAATGAGTCTAGTACACAGTTTTACTGTTACATAATTGTAACTTTAGAGATCTGATTTTCTATTCAAGTTTGACTTCTTATTTATGTATTTGTTCCTTTATTGCCATATGATAAGTACAGTTGTTATAAAGTCCTAATGATTTTTAGCACACCATACATACATACATATATATTATTTTTATTCATATTATATATACATACTAACTGTACACACAACTTCAACCGCATGGAATTTTGCAACATTACTTTATTTTCTAAAATAAAAGCAGCAGCCAATAAAAGTCCCACCAAAATCGCTCCAGCCATTTCAGAGATTAGCTGGAACAAACAGATAGACAAAAATTGTAAAAAATGTTATTTTGGTGTATGTACCATATTTATATTCATATGCATGTAGTAAAAAATGGTTATTTCAATATTACAAACAGACACTCCAATTTTATTTATATGTATAGATAAAATGAATAAAATTCTATTAAGTAATTGTAATTTGGACAGGTATCATGCATGTAGGTCCCTTTATCAGGTTGTGCTTACAAATTTAGATTTTGCATTTATATAAAATGTGAAGTTTATTCATATGAAATGCACAACCCACAAGATGTATAAGTACTTAAATGAAATTTGAGTGGAATCATGCTAAGTAGATTTAATATGGTATAAAATCATATGAAAAGGAATAAAAAATATATACTTGCTAATTGTAACACAGATCATAAAGCATTTCTTACAGTTATGTTTTATGATCTGTGAACAAGAATAATGATAATTGTTTTTGTGAATTGCCTTTGCAAAGTCAAATCAGTAGTTTAATTAAATAGTTAAGGAATTTGAATGCAATAAGTTAGGTATGCATTATCTTGTATTTTCACAGATCGTCACCTTTTCTGGCTAACTTCCAATGTAAAGTGTCCCCGTCAGCGTTTGTCAGCAATTGATGACACATATTAGTTATACATGATTCTGTCTTTGATATGCCAGGCAGCTTTACAACTATCTGCAAATTTATTTTATCAGATACTGAAGTTCAATATTATAGAAATCGTATTTAATCACTTTAGGTATGTCTTGTAGCATTCTACAAAAGAGAAAGCTTGTTTATATTATATTCTACAAGGCACATCTATCTATCATCTGGCTGCATATGGAATAATGTTTTCCTTTCTGGGCAGGACCACCACAATATATGCTAGGTACTATATTTTTACGGCATTCAGAACCGGGCTGAATCATTTATAATCAATTGTGACGAATTCAACCCATTGACATTGCAGACGAGTCTTTTTGTCGTTGTTGCCCCAGGTGTCTAGAAATTTTAACTTCCTGAAACCTGGCATTTAGGATTCCATCAAAACAGACGCCGTTCATATGGATAATATATATTTTACTGATGTTTGGTAAAATAAACGTACAATACTTCAAGTGCCTTAACGTAGTGTCAGAATGTATCCTATGCAAGTAAAAAATAAATCTTTTCTTTTTGTACTAAAAGAATATATAGATTATCTACCCACCTACCAGTATATTGGTCACGTGATTTTGGCACACAACTGTTGATATGTGACCTATTTCAAAGTCTACAGTTTTTTGACCCATAATGCATCCCACGCAAGACCGAGAGTTTAAACAGTCTAAAAATTAGTAGATACACGTGTATCTATTTTTTAGGTATCTGTGAATTATGTAAATAAATGTTACTTTAAAAATATGCATTTATTAAAATTATCGTCCAAAAAGAGATCAATCGTGAGGAGTTTAATATTTCAATATTAAACTCAGCAGTTTACTATTGTAAAAACTATATCTATGTTCAATTGACGAATACACGTATATAGAACATACAAGTTTTAGAAAACATTCTCTATAACATAAGGATTTGTTGTCACCTCTTGAATATTGTCGTAAATAACAATAAAATACTTGGTCCAATTGCGTATGTTGATGTTTTTATCACAATTTGTGGGAATAAATTGGTTCACAATGAAATCGATGCCACTGGCTTTTTATACTTCCATACTAATGTTATAAATTTTTTTCGCAACTAAACAATTATACAAATCTTAAATAACGAGGTGAAGATAGATTCTAGTTGAGGCTTATCTATACAGGCTATCTTTTACGAAAAAGCAACCAAAGTTGCTAATAACAAATCTTCTATAAATCAAATTATAATAGTATGCAATCCAACTACAATTATATTTAGCTAAAAAGTCGAGACAAGTATGACAAGGTTCAAGAAGCCTGATATGGGAATCACAGCAATCGCTATTGATTTGTATAATACGTCACGTTCCGTCGAGAACAAATAGATTATATATAGGTAGGTACGTGCTGGCATACAATTTGAAACTATTATTTTAGTACCACGTCGCCTGTGCAATATCATTTTTACGTTCTAAAGGATCTAATGCGCCAGCTTCATTGTTTGTTCAAGTTGTTTGCGATGTGTTCTTCGCGTTATCAATTAATTATACACGCTCAGGTAATACACGTATAGTGTTTTCGTATTATCTCTAGGTAGGTATGTATGTTTCTTTGAGGGATACTGTTTCATTCATGAATCACTTAATTTCATGTTGGTATACCCTTTTCGTCTAACCCTTTATATTCTTCAGATCTGTCATAAATTTTAAACAGTTTGCAAAATTTGACTGATTAGAGCGTTATGTATATTTATGTTATTTTACCCAAATAATTATGTTGTTGGTCTCCGAGTGAATACTCCAGTCTCTTGATATCATCTGTATACTCGGGATACAGCAGGCTGACTCAAGTGCAGCTGGGAAGCGACTACTCGCTGACTGTATCCTTATTGCAATAAGGCAATAACTTGAGTGGCGCCTTGAGGTGTAGTATCCATGATTTCTTGAAAACAATGAATGCAAGTTTGCAGAGATGTGTA